AGATCTAGAAACAAATCGTTGTGTATTTGAATTTGATCTGGAGTAGTTATTTCGACTATTCGGTCTATTGTAGTGATTTTGTGATGAATTATACGTGTTTCTTCGTTCTGGTGATCTTCCTCTATAACTTGAGTTATATGGAGATTGATTTCTTGTATAGCTTGTATTGTTTGGGAGTGGTTTTCCTGAACTGTTGTTGCTGTATACATTTTTGTTTGGTAGGTTTTGATCTTTTTTCATGTATTGATAAAATGATTTATTTGGTTCTTTGTATTTTTGAGGTTTATTTTGACTATCTTGTTGTTTTTGTCTACATTCGGAAATACTATGTCCGTATCGTCGGCAATAATTACACCATTTTTTGAAAGATGGTTTGCCTTTAAAGTTCGGGTTCTTTTCGTAAATATTGAGTATTTCAGTGATTTTTTCAACGAGATCTGTTTCTGATTCTTGTATATTATTAATATTAGTGGGAGTCGTTTCAATTTTGTTAACGTATTGTAATTTCAGATTTTCCGTTTCTTCTAATTTCATTGTGATTTCTGCTTGTTCTAGTTTGTCTACTAGTTTTCTAAAATCTAAATCGGGTTCTCGAATTGAAGAAGGATGTGATGCTCTCTTTTTTATTGCTATTTTCCTTAATTGTGGTGTTAAGGTCATCATTAAGATTTCTGTCATCTTAGTGTTTTTATAGTCATGTGTATTTAGTGAATATGCTTTTCGAACTAGTGTTTCGATTCTTACTGCTATTTGCTTGATGGTTTCGTTTGGTAATCTGCGAATTTCATTACATAAAACTCTTTGTTGTTGTTTGTTTCTTTCGGAGTCAAACATTTTTGAAAATTCTTGTGTAAATCTTTTCCAGTTTGATTTTATTTCTTGAGGTAGTACTGAAAACCATTTTTGGGCTGCGCCATCTAAGGTTGTTTGTATCAACGCTGTGCGTCGATGTATCCAGTTTTGATGTAGTGGCGTGTTAATTGGTTCAGGTCCAATATTTAAAATTAAATTTGCTGTTACTGCATTTAAGTAATCTTCTACAGAGTATTCAGGGTCTGTTCCTGTGAAAACCATTAAGGGTTTATTTGATGTTATTGATGATCCACCCATAAGGTATGGATTCATTGTCATTTGTAATGATTCAGCTGCATTTGGCATTTGAGAAAAATTTGAAAGTTGGTTTCTTGTTATTTCATGTTGTTGAAGATAATACGGGAGTGGTATTTCATTTTGCATTTGTGATGGTTGATACGAGTGTGTAGTCATTGGATTTTGTTGTTGAATTGGTTGAAAAGATTGTATATTAATTGGATTTGGTTGTTGAATTGGTTGTTGATATTGTGCATCTATTGATTGTGGAGAAAAATTTCTATGGTTTGTACGTGTTTTCTGTATTCCTTGTCTACGATATTCTTGAGTATTTGGTGCAAATATATCTGGTTGTAAGAAATCTTCATCTGAGGATAAATAATCCATTTGATAAGATGTTTGTTTTTTATTTTTATTTTGTTGAAAAAATGGGTAATTTTCACTGCGATCCTGTGGAGGATTTGGTTGAAAATTTGTGGAATTATATTGGGCCGTTGGGTTATCCCAGTTTCGAGGTTTTGTATATTGATTAAAATTTCTTTGTGGTTTATAATTTGTTTTTGATGGATGTGTATAATTATAATTATGGTCTGCAAAGTTGTTTCTAGTGAATGTTTTGCGTGTTTTTGATGGTATTGTCATGGGTTTGTATGTTTGGTAATCCATATGTGAATATTTAGGGGCAACCGAAGGTTTAACGGTTGATTGTAAGGTTACCTGTGTTTGTGAAGGATTTGTATTTCTTGGTGTTGTTAAATTTGGGCGTATTGGTGAAATACTTTGTTGTGTAGTTGTTGTGTGTACAATTTCTTCATTTATGAAGTGTGATGGTGTCTGTATATCTTGTTGAGTAAGATTCCTAGTTCCATTGAGGTTTTCATTGTGTATGACTGTAGAGTTTAAACTATTATTTTGTGTATCGGGTAAAAATGTATTATAGTTTAATGGTGTTGCATCAATTGTTAATGGTATTACTCTTACATAATCTCTTATGTAAGATATTGTACTTATTGCTTGACTTGAGATTGATTGTGGGAAGCTTATAAATGCTGGATGAGACCATTCGGGGTCCCAAACATAATCTGATTGTTCTGTGATAGCGGTATCATCGTTCGAATTTTGGGGTCTAAAATTTTTTCTTGCTTGTGCAATTAAATCAATATTGTGTGTAAAATAATCTATTATGAACCATGCTAAAATTTTTTGTAAATCGTGTTTGGTATGTTGTGAAACGTCGTCTTTCGTGAAATTTTCTTTAATGATGTTTAAATAACTAGAGAGTAGTGTGATTTCATGTCGTACTCTTAAATGTTTAGATGTTTCTGTCGGTGAGACATTTGTTAATGGGAGTTCATTTTCTAATATCGAAATATAACTATATATTAGTGCGAAAACTTCATTGGTGAAAATGGAGTTTGCTCTTTGTGAGTTATGGTATTGTATGCTTTTTATATATTCTGAAAAAACTTTTGAAAATTCTAAATCAAGGTCGTCTGTTTGAATAGTGTATGTTCTATTATTATGGTTTGGGGAAGTGAATTCTATAGAGTAGATTCCATATTGTTGTGTTATGTTGCATATATCTTTTAGATAGTGATCTATGATTTGTCTTTTGATTTTTACATCGGGGAACTCTGTTTTACATGCACTGATTCCGGGTTCAAATAAATTTACGAGTAAATTTTGACAAAATATGTGTTGTCCTCTATCAGTATCTGCATCTACTATAAAAGGAAAGATTTCATCATCGTCTGGAGTTTCTTCACCTGGGGTGTGCGTTGAGCTCATTTTTTCGTTCGATGACTGTTAATATGTAATTATTAATGTGTCGAATTGGTTGATTCCAATTGTATAAATGTACTGGTTTGTGTTTATAATGCTTTTTTATTCTTCTTTTTCCTCTTTGTGATGAATTTGAAGTTGTTTCTGAGTCAGAAAAATATAGTTGATCGTGAAGTGGGCAATTTTTATCTATTGATTCTTTTAGTTTGTAAAGTTCGTCTAAACTGTTAGTTTCTGATTCTGAAAATGCGTTTCGATTTTTTGAAAATCTTTTTCGTGTTATTTGTCTTTGTTTAGTTATTATTTTCCTCTTTAGTGTTTGTCGTTTTGTGCGAATGTATCCAACTGTTTGTGTATGAGGTGTGATTACAAGATCGTATTTTTTGTTATCTATTTCACAATTGTGTAAAACGATTGTTTGTTTATTTCCTAGGTTTTTAAATGACATAAGGTTTAGGATGACGGATGCAAAAAGTTGTTAAGTGAATTCTAATTACTTAAACTGTTAGTCCTTACGATTTTTTGGTTAGCTTAACCTGGGTCTATTTGTTCAGGGTTGGAGAGAAAGGTATATCGATTCCGAAGAATGATTTTTACTTTCTCGTGACTAGTATAAGCTAAGGTGTTAACTTACTTAATCTTACTTAGGGGTAGTGATTGTGTTCAAGGGTTGGAGAATAGTAAATCGATCCACAAGGTTCAGGTATAATTAGAACGCGAGTAGTTCGTTAGATACTATTTTAAACTTACTAAGTCTAAGATTTATCCTGGGTCTGGTAAGAGGGGGGATCAAGTGAAGGATGAATAACCGAAGTTCTTCACTGTTTATCCTAATTTGAATGATTAGTTTTGTTTAAAAATTTCTATTAGTCTTGGGTCTTTAGAAAGGGTTGGGTAGTGAATCGACGTTTGAGGTCGTTAGACACTAATTAAGTGGGTGGGGGAGAACAAAGTTGTTCTGTTTGATCCAAGGATAAGCCTTGATGATCAAATTTAAAATGTAATGAAGTAGAAAATGATTTAAGATCCAAGGATAAGCCTTGATGATCTGGTTTTAAAATTAAGTGACTTTAAGTTTTAATGAGGTTTTAAATTTGTGTAAAGGAAAGATTTAGTATTTTATGATATTAGTGAGTTGATGATTGCTGTTATGTTTTAGGTGATGAAGCTGGAACAACAGGATGATTTATGATTACTAACCATTTATTGTCATGCTACTAATTTTTATTTTTTTTTTTCCAATAAATATTTTTCAAACATGTTTTGTATAATACTGCAGAATTTTAGGAAAACGATCTTAGATCTTTTTATCAATCGTTATTGTATAATATTAATTTTGTTTAGCGCCTGAAATGATTTTGAAGATTTACTTCAAGGTTTTATGTTTGCAAATGGAAATCTAAATTCATTGCAAGTAGTATTCGAAATATAAAAGTTTGTTCTGGCTTTTGCCGAACTATCATGTAACTATACGGCAAGTTTCTACTTTGTCGTATGTCGTCTTTGGTTCGATGTCTTCTTCCAATTCCGGGTAGTTCTATTATGGTTCGGAATATTGGCTCGGATCTATTGAGTCGGAGAGACATTTCAATTAAATTATTGTCGTATAACATTTTGTAAATGTTTTTGTCTAATTTCTAATCTAATTTTGGTTAATTCTAATCTAATAAGGTCTTGTTCGAGACTTATGGTCGCACCAGATGAGTTAGGACTGGAGTGTAACTCATAGAGTAATTTCGGATAGGGTACACCGTCTGCTCGTCACGCTATCTTATTTTCGGCCGGATAGATTCGTGCAACTTCTTAGTCTAATACCGATCCTAATCTTACTCTTATACTATCTAGTCTCAGGTTGTTTAACTAGTCTCTGCTAGGCTCAATAGATCTAGGGTATACTGGTTTATTGCGGCTGCTGAAGTGCTCGGGAGAGTCCAACTAATTTCTAAGTTAAATTCAAATCTCTCTGGTGCTGAAATTACAAGTAACTTCAGCACTTACAAATAAGTGGGTTGTTAGTTAGATGGATCATGATTGGTTAATATTAAATACTTTACATTGGTAAAACATTTAATTTATCCAATCATAAAATATAGTTTAGATCAGGTTCCATAACTTTCTTTCTGATTCAGAATGAGTCGGTCTGATGTGGGCGCATTTAAGAAGAGATACGTACCAAAACCCAACAAATATATTGTACTAATGGGGGATGTAGGAAGTGGCAAATCTACAATTCTTGAGCAACTGACTGGCGCTGAAAACAGAAGTTCTGCGAGTTCTAAAAGCTACACGCGAGCCACTGCAGTGATCAGTACCAAAGATGGGTCCCTGGTAGTTGCTGACACTCCTGGAAGCAATCCGATTGACGACCCGTTCCAGCATAATCTGCACATCATGCATGCTATCAATTTCATGCCTGTAAATTGCATCCTAAATGTTGTGAAAGCGGATCAACGAACTGATAATGTAATAAGCAAAATTATCCAATACTCTAGTAGGTTCATCCCCGAAGACCTACCCCCAGAACTTTTAGGTGTATGCATAACGCATATGGACCAGGTAACATGGAACAATCAAGAATGTCTTGACCTTCTGAAGCGAAAAGCTGGAATACGTTCGGCTGTTTTCTGCGGACTGAACACCAGCAAAACGGATTTAAGGGAATCTATCATGAGACAGATTAAAAGAAAGCCTGCTAGAAACATCAACATCGACAAAAAATTGTTCCTGAAGATATTCGATATCGCAGATGGGAACATAAAAATAATGCGTGACACCAGAAATGAACTCAAGCACCTCCAGAAAATAACAGAAGTTTTCTATGAGGAACGAGAGAAGTTCGCAGAAGAGGACCAAGTTGATCTAATCTTTGAGTTTCAAGCTTGGGTACTTGAAAAAATCACAGATGCACAAGTGCGTGTCTCAAACTCGAATAACTTCACCTTTCTTGGACCTACATCAGCTTCAGAAGCCGGACATATTGCTAATATGACCAACCAGATGAGAAAGATTATTGCAGGGATCCGAGTGGAGGCTTCTAAATACTACAAGGACGTCGACAGCAATTTCCGCAAATGCCCTCACTGTTCACTTGTGTGGCAGAAGATCGAGGGTTGTGATGGTTCAACGGAGTGCGGTGCTCGACCTTCGACTGATCTTGCTCATGATTTGAGAAGAGCAGCAGATGAGATGGCTACCTTTAGCTTCTGCTATGATTACAGTGAGTACCGATTTCAAGTTACCAAATCTGATACGAAGAAGCAGCTCAACGTAAAGAGTTACGACAACTCGGGAAAAGGAATCGGGTGCGGCAAGAGAGTTAAGTGGTCAAAAATGGCTCCAGTCAGGGCACCAGAATGTTTTGATGTTACGGTGATGGATAACTCATACACTGGTGACATAAACCCACTACCGCCGCGAGCTAGTAGACGTTTCGGTGCCACATACGAGCAAGAGTCGAAGAAGTTGCCAACTTTAGAAGTGGAACAGGGCAAGGAGTGAGATTAATGACTTGTGAAGTCCTGGATCGAAAAAATTATTTGAGTAGTCTCATGTAATATATTAGAAGATAATTTCCGTGAAAAATTTAACAAATACAACTCCTAATTGTTGATTAGTTTTTTTCACACCTGCATTGTGAGTTTTTCGGGGGCTAATTTCATGATTAAGGGACATGAGTATTTCATCCTACCAGAACCGTAAGACGTTCCTATTCGCTGAACGCTTTTTGCACAAAATTGAAGAAGAAAAAAGGATAGCCGGAGTTTAGGTCAGAGGTGGCTTATTCGCAGAGTAATTTCAGATAAGGTACACCGTCTGTTCGTCGCGCTATTTTTTTTTCGGCCGGATACATTCGTGCAACTTCTTAGTCTAATACCAATCTTAATCTTACTCTTAACCTAGGTATTTGCGGGTTAGGTATCTGAAAATTGTTCCAAAGGATACCAACTGTCTTCTAAATTTATTCAAATTGTTCTGGTGCTGAAAATACAAGTAGTTTCAGCACTACATTTGAATACCAGTGCTAGTTATGGATCATGATTGATTAGTAAGAAGTACTTTATAGTGATTAATTTAATAAGGATTCAAATACTAGCTTTAAACTTTAAACTGGTTCCATCCATTCGGGGTTTACAGAGTTTTTAGTTTCCAAACTGTTTGTTGTAGTGAAGGATGGATAGAGAGACTTCTGTTCTATTGAGTAGTTTCTTTTGAAGCACTGACTGCGTGAAGGAAGGAGAGATGTAGTTGTTTTCGTCGAGCGAAAGAGTACAGTTGTTCGTTTTCCAGATGTGGGTCTCGTTTCATTACAGATCGTTTTGAGTGGTTGTGTCAACGTTTCAGATTGATGCAATGATGTGTTGGTTTCGTTAAGCTAGAGCGAGACTACGTATAAGATGAAGTAAGCTTTTTCTAAGCGAAGCGACAAGTCACTATGATCCGCGTGTGAAGTCCACATCGAGTTGGCCATAGTTCTTTTTCAATGAATGTTGGGTCCTCACTTCAAAACCTGCGAGGGTTATGACTGCGGCAACAAATCAATAGATATGCCATTCCTGTTTTGAATTTCGTCGAGTTTTCATCTCCCTTTGCTGCTCTTTCCGTTTACTGTAAGAAATCTTGTTAGTGAGATCAGTTTTAGATATGATGTTTTGATGTTCGCAAAAATTGTTTAATTTTGGTTAATTTAAAGAGTTGCTCACCATGGAGCCCCTCCTATCAAACACTAAGGATCGGGCTCGTAGCAAATGGTGGGAGCATGTACTTCGAGCAACGTCGTTCTGGTTGTTGAGGCCACAGTGTGTTATAATTTCACTGTCTCTTTGAGCAGAGTCTTTTTTTGTGTTCAAGTTTTTGTTTTTTTTATCATGTGTTTTTTTTCTGTCTTTGGTTGCGTCCTTTCATCAAAAACACATTTTTTCGTTTCGGGTTTTCCTTTTGAGTTTTATTGTTTTAAGTGGTTTCAAAAAAACTCGGAAGTGGGTTTCAAAAGATTGAATTATCCAGTTTTAATCTGAGTTTAATCAGTGATTAACCTGGTCTGAGTACCGTGGGACTTTTTTTTATACTTGCGGTTGATTTTGTGGTGTTAGTAAGCTGCGTTGGTTAGTTTTAATTAATTTATAACTTCTTCTAACTGGGTTGAGGGAATGTTTTAAACGCGTGAGTAGTTATCAGTAAGAGTTGAAATTTGAAACTCATTTATTAAGCAATTCTACGCGGACGAGTTGTGCGAGTTTGGTGGAAAGAGTGCGTGAAATGTGCGCGAGTGAAATTACTTTGTTTGAATTTTACAAAAGAAGCACAAATAAAAAGATTAGTTTCTTGTAATTTATTTTCATCTCATTAGTTTACTTTTACTTTTATAGTTTACTTTTACTTTTTTCATTACTTTTAATCTTTAAAATTTATATTACGAAATGTTTAACTTATTGCATTTGTTACGAACTTTACTGCTCTTAGATAATTCAGTTTCCTTGTTAAACCGAAAAATAGAGTTTGCGATTTTTTATTTAGATTTTGTTGTTTCAGATGATTGATCAGTAAAATCTTGGAAAAAATAATTAAAAATTATGTGTAATACTGGTAAGTGTTATGTTCTCTTGGTTAGTTTTGAAAATTGTTTTCAATTTAACGAGGGTTCTGTATCAAGGAAAAATCCATGGGGAAATTGTTTTTCATCTGATGTAAGGAGAAGTTTGGCAAGCATGCGGAATACTACGTTTTTAGTGCGCAACAGAAACCAGAGAAATTCAAGCGTTCTGTTGGTGTTAACTCCTTTGATAAGAAGTGAAAACTCACGATTTGTGTTTTGAATAAGAAAATACAGTTTATTGTTCTTAAATTAGTTTTGTGAATGTGTTCTAATAGGCTTAATTCAATGGGCTGTATATATTCATGGGGAACAATGAGTGGGAGTTCGTCATCAGTGAAGATATTTTTTGTTTGTTTGCAGCACATATACATTTGTCTGATTGGATCATATTTATGTATATATCGTCTAAATTTGTAGATTTTATACAATAATTTTAGTTAAAGTAAAATGGTGAGGTATACTTTGAGTTAAAAAAAACATAAAACGATGTTGTGGAATACGTGTTGGTGGGTTAGTTATATGATGTTGTTGCATGAATTTATAATGCTTTGGTGTTTGTTATGAAGCTTTGGTGTTTGTTAGTGCGGGAACATTTATAATATTAAATTTTTGTTTGTGCTATCCAGACGGAAAACACATTCAGATTTATTGAAATTTTTTACTATTAGTTGAGGTTTATATTTTGGGTCATCTTTGTTTGGGGTGTCTTTCATATATCGCTTTATAACATGATCGTATTGGTTAATTGAAAATCGGTTAGAGCGTGGTGCTATGATTCGATTGAAGGTCTGATTTAATCCCATGGCAGTGAATTGATTTTCCTGTAGTGTAGTGGTTAGTTGACGAATGAGGTAATGACAGAATTCATGGTCTTTGGGGATTAGTTTTTAAAAAAATGTTTTGTGGGTTAGTATTATTGTAGTAGGTGGTCCAAGAGAGTGTGGGAATTCGCACAATTTCGTCAAAGAATAAGTTCAACTGTTTGTCGTTAGTTGTTGTATTGTATGTAAATTGGGGGGAAAACGGCAAGTTACGAAATAAAAGTTCTGAAGGGTAAGTATGTTGAGGGTGATTGGAAAAAAATCGGGATGAACGTGGACGGCTAATAAGAAATTTGGGTGGAAAGTTAGGGTGTTTTCGTTTAAAAAATTTTTGTGCTCTTGTGGGCGCAATATGAACTGAATGAACTGAGGATTATGGTGTTGAGCCTGAGTGTGTTAGTTGGTGAATTGTTAATTTGTAATTTGTGCCATGAAGGTGTTGCTGTTGTTTCACAAAGTCATCTAATTCATGCTCTAATTGATTGTAGGTCATGGGGCTAGGTGCGTCAAGTTGGTTACTTGATAATGGGGAAAGGATATGAGTTGCGTCGGTATATGATGAGGGGGTTTTATTGTAATGGTTGGAAGTAATGAGTTCGAAAAGTAGTTGAGAGAAAATTTTTGGGCTTGGTTTTGAATCAATGAATTCGTCCGGGTTTTCTATATCTGATTTTTTAAAGTTAGAGATTGTGTAAGTAACTGTTTGCGTAAAGTCATCTGAGTCAATGCCTGGTGAGTCAGAAGAAAAACTGGGTAGCGGAGATGAGGCTAGGTATTAGAGGTAAACGCGGGAACATTGGCGTTGGAGGTTTGATGGGTAGGAAAGTGAACGATTGAGAGAACCAACCTGTAACTCATCGTGTGCTAAAAAGAAGACTGTTTTAAGAACAAAAAATTATGATATGTGGTTGTTCTACAATTTACTCACATACGTCGTCAATGTTCGGCTGGTGGACTGTTATATGAGAAATTGGACTTTGTGGGAAGTTACTATCTTGAGAGGTAAGTTCAGTGGTTGCCAGCGTAATGCCATTATTTTATGGGACTTAATATAAAGCGTGATTATTTTGTAGACTGTGTAGGTGTAGTGGTGCTGTAGGTGTTAAATTTGTAAAGTCTTGTCGAGTGTTCTTTGCTTTTGGTATTGAAGATAAACTTTTCGTAATCGCTACTTTGAGTGTCAACAAGTGTTTTGTTAATTGATATGGAAAAAATACGCTCGTTTGTCCATTTCTATATATGTGTATTGCAAATGTATTAAAAATTCCTTTTAGTACTGATAAAAGTAATCCAATAGAATTAAACATTGCGTATAAAATAGTCAATCATTCTAATATATAATAGAGCCATCCTATAAAATCTAGGAGTTCGTTTCTAAGATTGACAATTACAAAAAATGTTTAGTCAAACATCTTGTGGACGGTATTTTTCACCGTTAAGTTATATGTAGTCTTTGATATCCTTGAAGTATCCGCTATAGTCTTGTGCATGAACATTTGAGAAGCATGCTGTTTCAGCTAGTTTTCGTATGTTTTGGTCAATGGATCGTCTTTATTTTGCATCCAATTTGGTGATAAGTTCTCGAAATTGTTGTGTTCAAATTTGATTTTGTATGTCGGATCTAGAAAAATACCTAATGATTTTAGATCTATGTTTAATTACGAGCTATTGTGCGTATGCTTTTGGGTAAAAGTTTTTTTAATGGTCGCCTTAATGTAGGAAATGGGGTGGGAAGATAAAATTGATCTTCGTTTGGATTAAGTTGTACTACGTTGTTGCTTTTTTAGATCCTTATGGAACAACTGTATTCCGCAAATTTGTACTTCCTATTAGTGTATCTACAAAAAGTACTTTTTTAAAGAAAATAGCGATTCGTTTGTAACAACATTCATCTTCAAAAACATAAAGTGGTGAAACTTTTTTGGTAAAACCAAAGAATTTTTCCTTCATAATTACTGAAATTAGATTGATTGCTCGATAAAAGATAGCCCGCGTAGGTAAATTAAAACCGCTACAGCAAGCGATTCTAGTATTTGGTGTTAAAAACTGTTTGGGTTGAGTCATCTGAGTCCATGCGGAATGACTTAGAAACAAAATGGGTAGGAC